GGCCATTTTGTTTTAATGAATGGGTTTCCAGACCCATATGTCTGACTTGTTTTGACTGATTATGTTCAAATTTTTAATATTCATTATACATCATGTCACAGATATACGGATATATTGGTTTGACGATCCTTTTCAAAGTGGCCTAATGGTGGCTATTTTTGTGCTAAAAAACTTGTTTTATTTTTTAGATCGGATTCTGAATGTCTTACTAGTGGCCATTTTGTTTTAATGAATGGGCTTCTAAAGCCATATCTCTGACATGCTCTGACTGACTATGTTCAAATTTCATATATTCATTATACATATATTCATAATGGCTGATTTTGTTTTAATTAATGCTGTTCCAGAGCAATATCTCTCAATACTCATTTGACGATCAGATACAAATGTCAATCATTTAAATGTTAAACAATCATCATATTCCTGACATGTTTATATTCCAGCTATATTACTATAAACAAAACTTTATATCTTAAATTTGATAACTAACGGGGACTGTGCCATGCATGGCTTGTTGTTAGTGCTTAGAATGATAATCAATTTCTCTGTCGCAATAATGTTGTTGAACATTTGGTGTTTTACTTTGAAATTCCTCAAAAAGCCTCATTCTAATGTCTATGTACAGTACACATGAAGGGTAAAACCTCAGGTTTACTCTGTTTTCAGATGTCCATTCTATGAAAAAGATGTCAGATTATAATTCATATCGTGTGTAGTTAGTTTTTAGCACTGTTTTGGGCAAAAATTAATGACTAGTTTAAGTTGGATTCACTTGTATCTGAGGATAAAATAAATATCAAGAAATTCTCATTGAAATCTATCACCACTGAATGAATTGTTGATATCACTACTGTAGTTGAAATAGCTAACACTTGTATTTATATTTTGAATAACGCTGAAAAGAAAGTATACTGCCTGCCATATATTCCATTTCCTTGTTGACACCAAAGTCAAAGTACTGGACACTTGTCTGAAAGCAACATTGACTAAATGACTAGCAAATTTGATCGCTAATGCACTGTACTGATGTTCAAACTCTGTGTATGGCAATAGAAACTGAGTTTTTGTAATTACCAAAAAGTACCAGAAAATAAGTAATAAAATAAAATATATTAAAAATTAATAAAGGAAAGCCTGTGAGAAAGTGAGAAAGTTACTTTAATCATTGATGTGTTACACAAGCACATTTATTCAATTTTACAAAATGAAGAGGGACTGTCATGAGTTGTTAATTCTCAAATCCAGTTCTGAAAACTGATCACATTTCATATCACACAGATAATTATTGGCATGCCAAACATGGGTCAACGCAGGGATATCTTAGCAGTCCATGTGAACTCGCTGAATATTGCACAAGATGTCAGCTTGGATATGTTAGCTGAGATTACCCATGGTTATGTAGGAGCTGATTTTGCTGCACTTTGTAGAGAGGCTTCCTTCATGGCGATAGAAAAACTCAATCCACAGTTTGCAAAGGTATGTTTCCTATGTTACTTAACAATTTTTTATAATATCATTTATTATGTACTAGCAACAGGTTAAAATGTGTTAAAAATTGATCTGTGATTCAGGGTGTGACTTAAGGTAGAGATGCAGTTTACCTGACAGGTATTTTAATTAGTTAATTAGGAAACCAAGATGACCTCCCTTGTCCACAAAACTATATTTTTTCGGAAAGCTTATTGTATGAATTTTAAAATTTGGTTAGTATTTTTTTATGATCACTATAGCTTGAAATATGCACAAAAATGTGCCTTTTTGGTCCAAAGTGATTTAAAAAATATTAGCTTCTAAACCATGCTTCTGTTTCCTGTCAAAATTGGTTTATGAGTACATCTGTTTACCATGAAAAAAGTGCCGTCTTGAAAACTGTCTACCAGTTGTCAATTTTGCAGGGCAGCAGCTCAAATTTCACTACTTCAAGTTTATGCATAAATTATAACCCAGGTTAGTTGTCTGTACGATTGTTGTAACACTGTTCAACCAAAAACAATGCCCTGACGGCGTTTTGAAGATAAACACATTGTCAATCATTTGTGAAAATTTCAAAACAAAAGGTCAAAGCGTCTAGGAGCTATTTTTTTTAAATTTCTAGGATGAGCACTAAAAAGAAGCTGAGGTAATTGCTAATTTGCATAACAATTCACTCAGTAAGAAGTTTGCTAATGCTCATAATTAAAATGGCTGTAAGTTCCAAATTTAAATGTATTATCGTTTTGTTAAAAGTTAAATATAGTGCATAATATGGAGATCTCGTCATTTCTTTTTTTCACCATGTTTCTTTTTTATTATCTATGTACAGCCTTGCTAAATCTTGCTAAGCATTCAAAAGAGATAATGTTTGCACCTGTTATCTAAATTGTAAAATCGTTTTTTGAGTATGTTCCACTATTCACAATTTTAACAGTCTATAGCCAAGACTGTTTGGATAATAAGAAGCAAAAAAAAAAATTTCACTCCCAAGTGCCCACGAACCTGCATCTCTACCTTAAGATAGGTTTGTTGGAAAATGCAGATCACATCCAGTTGTCTGGAACTTCCGGGTTTATATATGGTCTGATAACTATGGATAGGTGTAAAAAAATGATCATGTGTATCAATCAGTTGAAATCAGTTGAAATCGAAAAATGAATCAGAGCAAATATCACGAACAAGCAGAATCGCCACAAAGCGAATACTAGGCGTTCACATGAAATAGAATACATGTTTGTTGACTTCAATCTAAGAGAAATTATCTTGGGATTAAATACATCATCTCAAAGCTTATAATGCGGTAGTGCATATTTTGTACCAACATTTGTCTAATGAATTACCTGACACTCAATTTGGCTGTTGTGCTTTTTTAGCTATTATAAATTTTCTGTTTTTCTAAATTTTAGTACTATTTGTTGTATCTTTGTATGCTATTGATGCAGAATGGCAGTGAATTCTAACAAGAACTCATAAGATAAACTTGACGGGCAGCCTTTTTATTTGAACTTCCATGTAGACACTATACTATCTTACACCACTAGATGGCGCTATTACATTCTCAGATACAACATCTCAAAAGATCAGAGCTATAGTAGCAGACAGGCATCTTCCTCATGTTTAAAATCCTAAATTTTTAATTAATTTTAAATATTCCCTATCCCCTATTTGATTCTGATTAGTGTCAAGGTAATAAAGTACATGTGTGTTTCTTTTTAACATCCAAAACAAAATTCATTGGAACATAATACCAAATAATGTCAAAATATTTCATTAAAATGGTTGGTTGTTCTTGACAGGTGGGGTCGGCAGTAGTGGTTACGATGTCTGATTTCAAATCAGCAATGAATCGAATAACTCCATCCGTTCAAAGAGGATCCGATGTGTTCGTTGATTTTAACCCAATATCATGGCAAAATATTGGGGGATTAGAGGAAGTAAAAGCACAGCTAAAACAGGTAAGATTAGTGTAATCATAATCATTTTGTAGCAGTGTCATTGATAACTCAAGATCCACTCATTTTAACTTTGTACATTGTAGATGGTCTGGGATAATTCCTCAGGTATTATTAGTTTTTAGGTTAAAATCAATGAATATTAATGTAATTAGCATAAAATTTAGCCAGATTTTTAGATAGTGTATTTGAGAATAACTTACCATATTTTCTCTATTAGTAGCCCATATGGTTTACAGAGGTGCATGTTTCTTCGGTCACAATAAGTAATATTTTAATGATTCAATGTTCAACAAATGTGATTTTTGGTTTATATGACTTCTATTGGAGATGCGCTTCTAATAGAGAAAATACAGCATTAAATTTCACCTGTGCAGTAATTAAATAATTTTCCTAATAATAATTTTTTTTCAAGATATATATTATGAAAATTGGATTAAATCCACTAGAAGCTCAAATGTACTTATATGTGGTGGATTTTAGTTCCTGTTTTGGGTTTCGTTTGTCTGTCTGTTGTCATCATCCGGACGTCCCTAGACTGATTACGTTTGAAGCTAGTACATAAAAAATCAGAAATAATGCTTTCACTTGCCTGGCAATTTTATTTTATTTCAATGAGAATTTCTTGATATTTATTTTATCCTCAGATACAAGTGGATCCAACTTAAACTAGTCATTAATTTTTGCCCAAAACAGTGCTGAAATACTAACTACACACGTATCACTATAGTTGTAATCTTAGCCAATACTTATATTTACATTGCACAAGCAGTTTTGATTGATTCCTGTTATTACCATCAGGAAATCGCTATTAGTGAGCATTTATCAATATAAAAATTACCTATGTGATTGTTGTTACCATGTTGACAATTGTTGATAATACCATCGGAAATGCGTCCACAAGTTTTGTTATAAACCTAAAAGAAGCCGTGTGAATATTTGATACACCATGTATTTTTGGAATATTTACAATTTTATGAATCTTGACCTTTCAAAAATAACATGTTTTCGAATTTCCAGTCTTTTCAGCGTTATTAAAAACATAAATACAAGTGTTAGCTATAATTTCAACTACAGTAATGATATCAACAATTCATTCAGTGGTGATATATGTGTATTTAGTATACTGTAAAATACTTTATTTTAGCTGGAATTAAATTATGCTGAAATGACTTTTTGGGTGTTTTGTATAGAATATATTCACTGATTTCCGACGAGTTGAATGTAAAATATAGGGAAAAAGGGTATATCCGTTGAATTTTATTTTCACTGAATCATTCCTTCAGCGAAAATAGTGAAAATTAATTCCAAGCGAAAATAAAGTATTTTACAGTACACCTATATGGTTGATGCCACGCTCTGGAAATTTATCATACATTTTGGACTTATTTAACATAATACTAGATGATTCCCAGGGTATTAAGAAACAAACGTAACCTTTGGAAATGCCTTATTTTGAATATAAGTATACAAATTAAAACTTGTTTCTCTATGGATTTTTTATTAAAACATCAGGGGTACCAACAGCTTTCCATAACCTACAATGTAGCAATACAACCTTCAACATTTTGACCTTTGACTCTTTAAATGCCAAAATTTTGTTTTGTCACATTTCATAAAATAAACCAGTATAATTTTATCCTTAATTTTTTTTAAAAACTCTTTAATCAAAACTTGCAGCTAATCGGAAATAAAGCCCATAATATAATAATTCAAAACATCTAAAAGGCTAATCATCTAGGTTCTGATGCATCTTATTTCTACTGTATTTCTGCACTCGGCGGAAGTGGGACTTTACGACTTCATATTTAATTGATTCTCTTACATTATGTTTTGATCGTCATTGGGGTTCCTTAATTGGGCTCAATATGCCACGATAAAATATAACATAAATAACACTACACAGTACCTGTATGCTTTGCCTTGGTGATCAAAGAGCATCCCCAGTGGTTATCTGCTCTACACCAGGATGTGTTAAAATAATTGATTTCCTTGTTTAACCTCCTATCAAGTCTCCTGCCACAAACACACAAGATTAATTAGTGCTTTCTGCTTGTATCCTACAGTAAAGTACAGTCCTTTACAAAAAACTGCAGGAGATACTCTCATTATTGTGTTTCCATGGTGATAATATGTCTTCTGCTTCAATTAATCAAAATAACTCTGCATGGTATATTGTCTGTATGAATCCTGTTAATAAAGAAACAAAAGTTACTATGGATTGTCACCTTGAAAACTAACAAATGCATGCAATGTGTGTCAGGTTTGACATTTAATTTGACACGGTATTCAATGCTAGAATTAATTTGCTTTTAACACATTATAAATTTTAGAAACTGAAATTGACAGTAACCCAAAGTGCACAGAGTAACTACTATTGTACTAAAGCTAGCTGTTACCAAAATGAACATATTAAATATATATTATTTACATATTAATATATGTACTTATTATTATATGTTTGTTTTTTTCGAAACTATAGGTGTCCAACACAATTGAATAATATTACATTTTATTTATTTGTATTAAAACTGTTTGCATGTCTCTAAGTTTATTGTTAAGTAATTACTGCTAATTACTTGCATCCTGCACATAATCTACAGGTAGTCATTGCATGTCTCTAAGTTTATTGTTAAGTAATTAATGCTAATTACTCGCATCCTGCACATAATCTACAGGTAGTCATTGCATGTCTCTAAGTTTATTGTTAAGTAATTAATGCTAATTACTCGCATCCTGCACATAATCTACAGGTAGTCATTGCATGTCTCTAAGTTTATTGTTAAGTAATTAATGCTAATTACTCGCATCCTGCACATAATCTACAGGTAGTCATTGCATGTCTCTAAGTTTATTGTTAAGTAATTAATGGTAATTACTCGCATCCTGCACATAATCTACAGGTAGTCATTGCATGTCTCTAAGTTTATTGTTAAGTAATTAATGCTAATTACTCGAATCCTGCACATAATCTACAGGTAGTCATTGCATGTCTCTAAGTTTATTGTTAAGTAATTAATGCTAATTACTCGCATCCTGCACATAATCATTGCATGTTCATCAGTGTAGCTTTGCACAACCCTGGTAATGAGTAGACTTATTTGCAACCTGAAGTCTTTTTACTCATGTTTGCTCAAACAAAATCTATATTTTTCAAGTTTAGACTTTATCTAAATAATTACTAAGTAATTACCAGTATAGCTGAACAATATCCATAATACATTTCATTCATTTTGCATTGCAGGCAGTTGAGTGGCCAATGAAGCACCCTAAATCATTTATACGACTTGGTATCCATCATCCAAAAGGAGTTCTCTTGTACGGTCCTCCAGGCTGCTGCAAGACAACGTTAGTAAGAGCTGCAGCAACTGCATGCAATGCTGCATTTCTGTCAATCAATGCAGCACAGCTCTACTCCCCCTTTGTGGGTGACTCAGAGAAAACTATAGCACAGGTAATATTTGTATGTCATTTGTATGATGGCTTCTATTTAAATGGTAAATGTTTGCTTTTGATGGAGTCTGCTTGAATTACAGGTTTTTCATCAAGCTCGTCTTTGCGCTCCCGCAATTTTATTCTTGGATGAATTAGATACAATCGTTGGCAAGCGATCAATGGAATCTGGTCATGGAAATAGCGTTCATGAACGTGTCCTTTCTGCTCTGTTGAATGAAATGGACGGAATTGGAACAACACTTCAAGAAAGAAGAGATCCAGAAAAAAGGATGATGGAAGGAGAGTTACATGATAATGTTGGAATTAGTCATGTAAGTAAGCTTACAATACAGGTTTCAGGAGTTGATATTTGGGTACCATCTCTTTAAGTCAAGAGTTCCTATTCAATTTTCGATGGCTACTATTACCATGTTTGACTGACGTGTTTTTCGTTTAATTTTTGGGTGGTTTCCTCCCATTACAATTATTACTAAAAGCTGTAAAAAGCTGTATAATATGTTTTTTCAGGCGGTACTGGATCACATCGACCTCCACCATGTGTCAAACAATACAATCACCTCACTGCATTTGTGTATACTTTATGGTATTTTATGATAACCCCAAAACACTGTGTTCTCATCATATATCATACATTAGGCAAGCAGAAATACAAATAACAAAATCAAATACCAGAATCCAACAACATACATAAACATCCACCATATTTGTATACATCAGTGCCTCAACTTAAATTCTGTTTTGCAATAGATGCTTGCTTTTTTCAAGAACATTGTTATACAAATAAAGTTTTAGTGGACAGGTTCATTATATTTAGGACAGTTAGCATTTCTTCTAGTCTTTTCAACTATTTTCATACTCTTAAAATAAAAGTAACTTCATAAAAAACAAAAATATTTTTGTCTGGGGAAACAGCTTTATTTGTGTTATCAATGTAGAATCAAATATCAGAA